TTGAATGTGTGGTTCTCCTGCCTCGCCCTCCTGAGCCACTGGGATCCCATTCTTGATCGGTGCAATTCTTTGTTTTCTGAGGCGACAGGCAGGCAGCGGGGCACTGGGCCCCTTCCTGGTGCTGAGTCCGATACGCATGGATAAGGCGGCCTTGGGGCATTTTTTTCTTCCTTTCAATTTGTTTTCCTTTTCAAGCTGTCTGGTGACAAGACCCCTCCGAAGCCAAAGCCAGCACTGCAAAGTGAGCCCTGAGCACCCTGGCCCGCGGCAGGTGACCAGTTTCAATAGTCCATCCAGAGAGGGCGAAGACCACAGCCCAGCTTTGTACTTACACTGAACATCCACGGTTTTTAGGGCTCGCCCTCCCAGAGAAGGCCCAACAACCAGCCTCTGGCTTCTTGGGGGCCATACCCCCCTTTGGCGTGTGCAGTATTTATATTTCAGCCCCTTAGGGAGACAGGCTGTCCATGGAACCGAGCCAGATAGAAAAGAATCCGGCCTCTGTGTGGTTAAATAAAGACAGGCGGCCTGCCTCGCTGCGTCCCAGGGCCTCTCCCGACACTCCTCTGCTTATCTGGGTCTTAATCCCAGCTGCACCTTCTGACCAGCCAAAGCCCAGGCCCTAGGCGACTTATCGAAGGGCCTGGAATTCGCCCCAGGCACCCCTCTTGCTGGCCACTTGCTGGCTGGATTATGGGCCTAACACTTCAACACCCACAAGTGGAGGCTGGGGCGGCTCATGGTCTCCGTCACAGGCGAGGTGCTCCAGTCAAGTGGGGGTCAAGCAGAGCCTCGGGAGGCCGGCCACCCCCTTGCTCCCACACTGCCCAGGGCTGCTGGTTTCCCTTGGGATGTGGATGTGCAGCCGAGCTTCGCGCCCCTCCTGTGAGTCTGGGCCATGCCTTCCTGGGGGTCGTGTCCAGCTGTCTTGGCTGCTTCCGTGTCCTTCTGGGAGGCGGCTCCCACCTGTGCAGGGCCTTTTCTGTATCACCATCCAGGTACGGTGTCCCAGGTCTCCTTTTAGGGACAGCTGCAGCCCCGCCCCCCCGCCTGCAGCCCACTTGCGAGCTAAGCTGGACTTGCTGAGATGAGTTGGTACTCTTGGCTCCAGGTCTGATTTCCCATCACATCCGTCCTAACCCCTAATTCACTGCCAGTTTGAAGCTAAAATTCAGAGTAGGAGCTGAGTAAACCCTTAGCGGCCCATCTCCCGTCCTCATTCCTCGATCCCCCGTCTGGCCACTACCTCCTGGAGGAGCAGCATTTCCCCACTGCGTGCCCCACTCTGCCATGTGTCATGGTCTCTACTCGAAAACTTTCTTTTCACCTCCTGGAATGCCAGAATTTATGTCCACCGTTTCTTCCTGCCCCAATCTATAGCTGACTGAGCTAGGGAGAAAAAACGGTCAAAAAGCTGTTAATAGATAAACAGGGACACGTGTGTGCTACATCCTGAAGGTATTTTAAGAGAGGTAAATAAATATTTTTGTGTGTTTTGTTTTGTTTTGTTTCTGCACTGGGGATTAAATTCACGACTTTGAACCTGTTAGGCAAGTGCTCTGCCCCAAGCCTCAGCTCCGGCCCTAACATTTTCAATGCTAGCATTTTCAACCACCCTGGGAAATGGGCTGCCCAAGACAAAATTTGTTTAGGGTCCAAAGGTCCTTTCTGTAGGCTCTCTTTCCAGAGCAGTGGCCAGTCTCTGAAGCTGGTCCTGGCTGGTTGCACATCTGCTTCCCCAGGGCCATAAGTTGCACATCCTCATTTTGCCTGGAACCCACGTTCTTCCAGACCCGAGCAGTGGGCTTCATTGCTGCCCTTGCTCACTCAGCACAATGATCTGACGCAGCAGAAGGGACTCAGACTTGGGTTCCAGGACCAAGCCCACCAGTTACAATTGGCATTGTAACAAAATGGCATTGGCAAAATGTTAACTTCTTTGTGGACTCAGTTTCCTCATCTGTAAAGTGGAAATTTATCACCCTTCAAGTTACTGAGCAAATCAGTATGGCAATACATATGACTGTCTCACGTAGCAGTTGCTTTGCAAGCTAGCTACTAGTAGTTTTGTGAATCACACTTTTTATCATAAATGTAGTTTACTTCCTTTGAAATTTGATTTTTGGATTATTCTGGGCCACATGGTATCCCTATCATGGGAAGCTTAAAAATAAATGAAAAATGAAAAACACTGGTGTCTTAATATTACTCTTCCCACTAAAACCAGAAATTTTCTCCCCATTCAAATTTTGAATATAAATGGTAATCTAGCTTTTAAATAGCACACACATTGATTTTCCTGTGGCCTTTGACAATATTCACTATAAAATAAGGCTCTCTGTAAAGAAGTCTTCCTAAGTAATAAACCTTCAATTTCCCTTCTTCTTGACAATCCCGAAGAATCCTAAGCATCCATGAACACTTAATCTAGAGAAATGTCCTACTTCAGCACACCTGTAAAAAATAACAATACTGATTCTTCCAATGAATCAAGAAGGGAAAGTTACTTTAAGAAATCTGTTACCTACTCTTACCCTAATGACTTCTCTCTCCTGATCAAGCCAGACCCTCAGAATTTGACTTCACAGATTCTTCTTTCAGCCAGTTTGTGCATTACTATAGAAACCAAAAACCTTCCTGCTTCCTGTACTGAGAAAAGGGATGCCAGTATTTTCTTTACTTTACCTTGAGTCATGTTGTAAATCTATGGCAAATTAGGTTCGGAAAGTTAAAAAATAATAATAAAAAACCCTGGGTATCATTTATTATTCTGTATGGTTTCTGTCTAGATGTCCCCTGAGACATGAGGTGCTCACAGTGGGGACCCGTGGAAGGCCATGGGATTTCGGGTTCACAGCTGACTTGCCCTTAGGAGATGGGGTCCAGCTGGAAGAGGGGGTCCCGGGGGCGTGGCCCGGCAGGCTGTGTCTCCAGGAGCCAACATAAACCTTTCCTCCTTAATGCCGTGGGTGTGGGAGACTGTGTCTCAGCAATGAGAAAGCCACTAAGCCATGCTCCATTTCGGAGTTGAGGTTCCAAAGGCTCTGGGAGATTCAGGATGTGCCCAGGATGGCCCAGATCCAGTGGCAGAACTGAGCCTCCAACCCAGGCAGCTCTGACCCCACTGTGGAGTACTCAGGTCAGCCTCGCAGACTGGCCTTGGGGAGCCAGTCACCTTTGTGCTGTTTGTGTCATCGGGGCCCTGGCCAGGTTTTCTTCCAGGGTCATCACAAGCACCGCCGAGACAGAAAGCAAGACACAGCACCACAGACAGCTCTGCCAGGAATGGGGCTTCGGAGGTGCACACTGCAGGAAGGGGCAGCCAGGCTGACTTTTGCTTCTCAGTCCTCTCAGACTCGTGACGCACTTGGAAAAACTGGCATGTCTAATTCTGAGTTTATCTTCCACGTGTGCCTCAACTGGCTGCACCACCAAGCCTTGTTCGCCCAGGATGAACTTGGTTGCTCTTGGTCCTCACTCAGGAAACTACAGCAAACCTTCTCAAGGATTGTCCTGGTCTATGCCTTCTCTACCTTGCTCCTGTGTTTTACAGTTTTATGTGTCAATCCTTGCAACAAGCTCTAACATACTTTCCCAGCTTCGAGAGCCTTCCTACCACCACCCAGCTAAGGAAGATGAACCCACAATCCGACATTGCAATCTACCTGCTAGCTTGCTGCCAGATTCAACCAGACTGAGCACAGGGTGTGGAATCAAAAGACTGAGTTTTGATACCTGTTTCACCACTCAAAAGTTATTTAACCTTGGTTGAGTTATAAAAAAGGTTGAACTGCAGAGCTAGTCTGGATTAAGTGAATAGTCAGTGAATCAATACTTACAGCTACATATTAGAATAACCTGATCTGCTACTTATTTTGTCTTAGTCTCTGTCTTAATTACTTTCTCGTTGCTGGGACACAATACCTGACACCTACAACTCTAAGGAAGAAAGGTTTCTTTTAGCTCACTGTTTGTAGAGGTTTCAGTCCATGGTCACTGGCTCCAAGGTAGGGTGGCCTGGCAGAGGGTCACAGCAGAGAATTGCTCTTGGCATAGCAGGCAGAAAGCAGAGAGAGATCAAGGGAGGAGGAAGGAGACAGACCCTTGCAGGCCGCGCCCCCAGAGACCCAACTCCTGCCACCAGGCTTCACCTCCCAACATTACATTCAGCTACCAACTCATCAGTGGACAAATCCACAGCCCCATGATCCAATCACCTCCCCAAAGCCACACCTATGAGGGCATGAAGCACTGGGGAGATGGCTAGATAGAAACCATAGGACTCCCACTCTAACTCCACTCTTTGCCCCTCTCTGTGTCCCTGGAGGTGACCCCCACATTGGATTGCCCTGCTAGTGCTCTTCCTCTTGGCCTGTGAGTGACATAGGCAGAGATGGGCATACAAGACGATAATTATTGGGGTATTTGTCTGCTGTCTCTCTCTTGACGGGCCAACTCTTCTAGATATTCCGGTCTCACTGGACTGGAGTAGCAAGATTTCCTTCCCTGTGCAGACCTAACAGTGCTAACTCGGAGAGAAATGATTCTCCAACTGTAGGCCCTGGAAAGTGCTTAGAAGTGCAAATTCACAGGCTCCACCCCTGGTTTTCTGAATGAGAAGGTTAAGGGGTGGAGCCCAACAAGTGCGATTGAACAAGCCCTCCAGGTGATAGAGAACCACTGCCCTCAAGGAGACTGTTGGGCCTGAACCCAAGAGTTTGCATTTCTAACACTTCCCAAGTGGAACCTTTGCTGCCATCTGAAAACTACCAGTAAGACCCATAGTTCTCTATTGACTCCCAGGAAGCCATGCCTTCCCCTCAGGAAAGGCAAGTCCTTGCACTTAATAAAGACCTTTCACTTGGAGCAGATGCTACCAGTTCCCAAATGCACTCCAAACTTTCCACCACTCCCAACACACACTGCTACAGCCTCACTAGTAGAGTTAAATCTCAGTGCAGTTTAGAAGAATTGCAAGGTTTGCTCTAAAAGGAGGCCTGGTTCATTCACTAGAGGAGCTACAAAATCTTGCAATTTTTTAGGAATAGTATCAGTTTGCCAGGGCTGCTGTAACAAATAATGTAGACTTGGGGACTTGATAGACATTTACTTTCTCCAAGTTCTGGAGCCTAGAAGTTTAAGGTGTAGGCAGGTTGATTTCATTTTAAGGCCTCTTTCCTTGACCTACAAATGGGCATTTTCTGTATTTCATCATGTGATATTTCCTCTGTACTTGAAGGTGCCCTAATCTCCTCTTTATATAGGTACATCAGGCATATTGGATCAGTATCACCAGTATCAGATCATGTAGTATCACATTATGACCTCATTTTCCCTGTAGAGGCTTCTTAAGGGCCCTATTTCCAAATACAATCAATCATATTCTGAGGTGGTGGATAGAATTTCAGCATACAACTCTGGGTGGGGTGAGGGTGACAGATCAGTCCATAATAAGCAGGATTCTGGGGCCCATGGTGCTGTGGCTTGAGTGCTCCTTTTTCTGGTGTTGGGAAGTTAATCCCCAGCAGAGTGGTGTGGGGAGGTGAATGCTGATTGCAACAGGTGATAGAGAAGGGTTTGCAGCAGGTGCTTCTCTCTCTCCCACTCTTAAACTGCGTTAAGACACAGATTTCTGCTCCTGCCTTTCTGTCTTCAAGCCTCTTCAGATGATAACAGCTTCACCAGAACAATAAGCCCCGAAACTGACAATCTGGTATAGAAACAAAATTGACTCCGACAGAGGGGTGCGTAGACCAAACCAAGGAACACAAATGTAAGGTTGGATGAGATTGAATGTAGTGATGTGAGCACACACCCCCAAACTTGACACACTGGTTCTCAATCTTAGCAGCTACTAAGGATGCTGTCCACTCTCAGAGATTCTGATTTAATTCTTGGGCTTGTAATCAGAGTATCAGAAATTTTTAAATTGCTCCAGATGTTTCTAATAGCTCTCACGGTTGAGGAACACTGCAGAATGGTTTCTTCAGCTGGTTACTGGAACCAGTAAATGAGGCTGAAATGAAGCAGAACTATTACAACTACCTTTGAAAGAACAAGAAATCCATGAGTGTAGAGTGACGTGGATCTCTATGCCCAACCTGCCTAACCAGCTCCATTTTTTTCCTACCCCTGTCCCTACTCAAGAAGGTTTGCATGATGCTTCTCCAGTTAAAAAATACCTTGGTGACTGTATTGGTCAGCTTTCCCATTGTTAGTCCCAAATACCTGAAATCCACAATTTTAAAAAGGGACACAGTTTATTTGGCTCATCGTTTCAGAGGATTCAGTCCATGGTTAGCCAGCTCCGACACAGAAATCATGGCAGAAGGGCGTGGTAGAGGAAAGCTGCTCACTTCGTAAAATGGCCAGGAGGCAGAAGCAGAGAACAGTGTCAGAAAGAAAGGGTCCAAGGGCAAGGTACATACCATAAGGTGCAGCCTCCATGGCCTGCACAGATTCACTCAGAAGAGCGCTTTCCTAATCCCCTAGGTGACTCTGAAGCCAGTCACATTGACAACCAGCGTAAATGTCCTAGTGACTGAAGCTAACTCTCTGTAGAAAGCTCCACAGAGATGCATGGTGGGGGGCGGTTGCTAGGGAAATGTGTTTCTGATCTTAACAGCAATAATGGGATTCTGGTGTGGAGGCTTGCAGGCAGTAATTAACAGAGTAAACTAGAGATCCGGGGGCAGGGAGCAGGGTGAGAGCAGACTGGCAGGAATCCATAGCGGTGACTTATTGGTCACAGTGCTCTGAAGAATAGGAAGGATGAGCAGTTACCAGGGTTCTGGCTAATCTTTCTGTAGGAAAAACCCTACATCTAATCATCAGGAACCAGACCAGTCGACTTGGATGGCATCGCTCGCCAGCAGCCTCCAAAGAGACGGGAAAGGGTGTGTTTGGGAAAAGTCTCCAAGTGGACACTGCTGGGGCCACACCTTTTCCCACATCTTTTGGGTTGAGAGCCAGTGAGTTAAATGATTTTTATTTGGCTCCTTCTTAGGTCTCAGAGTTATAGCTTCAGATCATAGCTACTTTTTTGTGGCTCACACTGCACCAGGAGTTCCTCCTTGCTCTCCAGGAAATACCAGATTCTTTTTTACCCCATGTTCAATTTCCTGTGCAACGGGGCCTGACCCCCTTCCCTGGGTCCCCTCCCAAGTCTTCTCACGGGGCTTCCTGGCCTTGCCCACTGCTCACACATGCAGTAGGCAGTGGTACCCCCTGGCCCGGCCCTCAGAGTGAACAGTCAGAGCTGGTCTCAGCTGGAGGCGGCTGCCCCATGGGCTCCGGCACCTCAGCCCCCTGCAGGGGAGGACAGGGGAGGGGAGGGAATCAGCATCTCACGCACCTGTTTCCATGCGGGCCTCACCTTCGTGCTTCACCAAGAGGGCATTTCTGATTGTGAAGCTCTGGACGCACGGGAGTCCTCCTGCCTCCCCAGTCTGCCTACTGCTCGTGCTATTAAAAGCTGTGCTCGCTATGACTGCAGCATCTTTGCTGTTTCAGTTCCAGCCCTCACCTCAGTGTTCTCTGGCACACCCTCTGGTAAGCAGTGGCAGCCCCAAGTCCCCGAGAAGGCCCCCCTAAGCCCAGCCACCCCACAATGGGATTCCTGGAACGCGTTCTCTCTGGGGCGTTCCGGTGGCATCCCGGGCAACCTACTTGGAACCACTATGGCGTGTGCTGTGCATTGCAGGTTCCTGGCTCCGTGACCTCAAGGGTTTTGAGGAGGCGCTGCCAGTCTACTTTGCTCACTGCTGGGAAAAGAGCTTGCTGGAATGAGTGGAGTAAAGTGGAGCAGGTGAGGAGAATGAGAGGGCTGCGGAGTGGTCAGGAAGACTTGGGCAGGGTGCCTGCTGGGGTGCAGCCCTGCCGGGGACCTCCGTCTCACCTGCAGCTCCTGTGCTCGTGACGTGTGACACTATGTCCGGCCCTAGCTGGGGTGGCTTGGGAAGCAGTGTCTTAGCCTGCTTTCTGTTACTGTAACTGAGTACCTCAAATGGGATAAGTTGGTTGTTTTAGAAAGCAGAGGTTGATGTGGCTCTGGAGGGCCATGAGCATGGGGCTGGTGCGGGCGTGCACCTAGTGAGGGCCTTTCTTCTGGGCTGTGATGACACAGAGCATCATGGTGAGGCACAGAAAATGGGCTGCCCCGGGTCTCTCCCTTCCCCTTACAAAGCCACTCCTGCTACATCACAGGGCTTTCACCCTTATGACTTCAGTGAATCCTAATCATTCCCAAAGCCCCACCTCCAAATACCACATTTGGACTAAGTTTCCAACCTCTCAGGACCTCACAATGGGGATTACATTTCAACATGAGTTTTGCTGGAGACATCCACACCACAGCGCAGAGTCTAGAGGGAAGACTGAGGTTCTCAAAATCAGAAAACCATAGCTCTTATACCTTCAAAAGTATGTGCAGAATGAATATATAAAAACTCAATGGATAGTGCAGAAGATTAATTAAAATCAACCCAGGGGAGAGCTTTGGTCAATTAATGATTGGAGTAGCAAAGAAATAAAAGCTGTGGACTTAAGCAAAAGAAAGGAGAAAATCTCTTGGGCAGTTCATGGACTTGAAGGGAAGGCCAAACAGCCAGGCTTCGGGACAGCAGAGACCGGGTAGCGAGGACCGCTTGTTACAAGGAGCTGCATGGCTCCATTAGACACCCAACCGCACAATGACCTGGTGCCTTGGTTCCCAGGAGACAGAGCCCCTAGGTCCCCTGCTGAGGCAGAGGCAAGGCCACAACCAACTCACAGGGCTGGGGAGCGGGTATTTCCCCAGGGGGAGAGGATGGACAGAAAAAAGCGATAATACTGACAACGGCGTCTGACAGGTCTTTCTATTTGATCAGTTGACTGTGATTCACCACTGATGTTTCAACTCACTTCATAGTTTCTGAAAGTTTTTACGTATGATCTAATCTAATTTTATGTTAAAATGTGAGTTATGTTTTGTTTATATTCTCCTTTTAGAGATAAGGAGGCAGGGTCCCATAAAAGGTGTGGTGACGCACGCCTGTAATTTCAGCTTTCTGGCAGGCTGAGGCAGGAGGCAACTTAGCAACGAGGAAAAATCCTGTCTCAAAATTTAAAAAAAAAAATTTTTTTTAAGGACTGGAATGTAGCTCCATGCAAAAGCCCTGAGTTTAATCCCCAGTTCTAAAAGAAAGCAATATTAAAAAAACACTATGCAGTTCACACAAGAACTCAAATCCAGATCTATTCTCTTATAATAAAAATGTTTTAAAAGCATGATATTTTAAATTCAGGTCTGCATCAATTTAGATTAAATGTTTATAGTTTTTTTCTAAAATACAAAAATTTTAAAATAAAATAAAAAATGTGTGAATATTACTAGATCCATCTCTTGCTGGATTTTATTTAATATAAGTGCATATATTTAAGCCATCAAATGTGTCCCAGATGTAGGAATCAAATCTATATGAGGCACGGCTCTGCTCACATAATTCAAATTAAGTCATCTGCATAAATAGAAGAGGACATCTAAGCAAATACGTGTGATGGGGGTGCTTCTGGAACACTGCATTTTAATTGCCTACTTCTTTGTGCTCCCTAATAACAAGCCTCTTTGGGTCAGGATGCTGTCTTTTCTGTATTCCCAGCACTGAGCACAGGGTCTGGGACAGATTAGATTCTTGATAAATATTTATAGGATAAATAAACCAATGAAAAAAGAAAACAAAATGTTCAGAGGAGACTCGATGGAAGGAATGATTCAGTTTGATTTTGTATATTAAGAAAAGCTGTAGTTTGAGCCAGATGTGGTGGTGCACACCTGTAATCCCAGCTCCTCAGAAGGCTGAGCCAAGAGGACCGCAGGTTCCAGGACAGCCTGAGCAACTTAGTGAGACCCTGACTCAAAAGGAAAAGGGCTGGGAGTACAGCTCAGTGAACAGCACTGGATTTGATTCCTGGTACCAGAAACAAACACACAAAGCACCATTTTGACAAATTGTACAGTGAATTTTTAGAGAATCCATTCAAACTACTTCTCTCGATACTACTTGGCCTTTGCACAATAAGAAGGGTGTTTTTTTCCTCCAGAGAGGACTTGGCATTGTTCCATCATAACAAACAGGTCCTCACATCCCCCAAAATCCAGTTCCATGCTGAACACTTCCACAGACTTAAATTCAAATCATACTATGAAATCATACTATGAAAATTGCCCAGATAGGCACTGTTATATCATTTTTTTGGGTCATGTCGTTTTCACTCATTCCCTTATCCAGTGATTTAATAAGCTTAGAGATAACTACTAGGTCCACTCCGTAATCCCAGGGTCCGTGTTCCTCCAGCTCAAATGCCAAGGGCTCCATCATTTCTCCCCGGGCCCGCTCCTTCTCTACAGGAGCTAACGTGCTGAGCATCAGATGTGCAGTAAAGGGCTTGTCCTCGGACTCAGGGAACTGAAAGTGCTTCCTGTCCCAGAGGAACTGAGTTACAAGAACAACTGCTGACTTGCCTGGAGTTTAGGGCAGACCCGAAATGGTTTATCCCCCCCCGAATGCAGTTATAGGAGGCACAAAAGCTGGGGAAGAGACAGGAGCAAATGAATCACTTGGAAAGCTCTGCCATCGAGTGTCAGGACAGCAGTAAAAAGAGGGATTCTCAAAGCACCTGGACCTGCAAAGCTTGCACGTCGTTGCCTACATGATCCAAAACTGTGCCACTCAAAATCAAGCTGCAGCTTCAGACACACTCCGAAAGAAAACATCTTTGGCAGTTGACTTTAAAGTTTGTCTTCAATTCAGAGTTCATATGTGATTCTAAGCCATGTTGAAATATGTATTCCTAATTACAAACAAAGCTGCTAAAATATGCAGAGTGGCCACAGGGCCGTCTTCAGAAGAGATGCAATGGCTCCTCTACAGCACAGCCCTGCAGCCACTTCACAAGACCTTAAAAGGGTCGACACCAACTCAAAACATATGGCAGCTCGGAGTATGAAAAGGAGCCTTTCACTTCCTGGAGAGAGGCCAGCCTCCCACTGGTAACATCGGGATGCTGCTCTGCCAGGGAGAGGCACGCGGGGAAGACCCAGCCGTGTGAAACACGCTGGTGGGCTGCCTCTCTCCTCACTGCCCTGTGCGTGAGGTTGGAAACTGCCCCTTCAGTTGGCATGAGTCGATATTTTAGGTTGCCTGGAGACACGGGGAGACTGCTTTCTTCTCACCATCCAGACGTAGACCTCCTCCTGGGGGGATATGTTTGGGGCCAAGAAAGAGCCACTAATGAAGTAAATATTAATAAACATTTAAACCCTTATGTGAGTAGAACTCTCTTTCCCAAGATTGTAAATCTCTGACCACCATGGAGAAGGGAGAATGCAGTGTATTCTGATTAACTGACTCCTCTGCTTCCATTAGATTTATATATATCCCATACATGGACCACTAGTTTTTGAGCCATACATATGCTTACCTCATATTAAAACCATACCGAGCAAAACCATTCTTGATTCCAAAGGCGCCTCAGAATGTCACTTCAGGGTCATCATTAAACATGCTGTTTTTAAGAGCTGCAGAAGAATAAACTCACTCCCCTGGGACGTGCACTTTTAAACAAATTCTTCACATTAACTCAGTTACTTGTGATTTATTTCTTTCTCATAAAATAGAGCTCAGTGCATGAAAAAAGAACTCTTGTTGGTTTGAATGTGGGAATCTGGATGTGGAAACTCAGATTCTCACATCCAGATATAACCAGCTCTTATGTGTACATATATTTACATAGTGGAAATGGCACTTCATAGGAAAATTATGTTCTTTTTTCACTTAACTGTCTATCGTGACTGTTTTTATAGGTCTTTTAACTCTTTTATTAACAAATTATAATTGTTATATAATATTACCTCAAATACATCAGTTGTAATATAATTTACCACTTCTCATTCTTGAGCATTGGTTTAAATTATTTCTGTTAGATGTAATAAATATTGTTACCTTATTGTGTCAAACTTTGAGCATTTCCTTAAAATAACTCCTTAGAAATGAAATTGTGGTCAGTATTCTTGACATATACATATATCTGTACCTATGTGTATATATCTGTGTGCTTTTCATATCTATTTCTCCATAGGTTAACCAATTTGTTATCTATCGGCAGTGTTTTTAAGTGTTCATTTTACCATTAACAGCACTGAAAATTCATTTTAATTGGTTGTTACTTTATTTTAACTCTTAGTCATTTCCCTTAAGCATCATTCCTGGTGGATTGTTTTATCCAGTGGCCATATGGCTGCCTGGCAAGTTCTTCTGCATGCAAAGGTTACAAAAAAGCTATTATAAATCTACACTGCTACACATACTCTGAGGTTATAGCTTCTTCCTGTACTAAAGCAAGTGCTACAGTTTACATCAAAGTGTCCCCCAAAAGTCTCATGTTTTCTGGGGTGCACCCTGATCTAAAGAGGCGGGGCACTGGGAGTGTGACTCGGAAGAGTGCAACTTTTGTCCCCAGCTCCCTCCTGGCAGCTTCGCCTTGCCAGACCTCTGGGCCACTTCTGCCTTGGACCCTGCCAGCTGTGGGCTGAGCCCTCTGAAATGGTAAGGCAAGCGACTCTCTCCTCCTTTAATTTGTGGGTACTGGGTATTTTGTCTCAGCAACAGGAAAGTGACTAATATAACAGGGTTATTCTTATGATTCTGCATGATTTGGGAAAAAGAAGTTCACAGATAGAACACAAGAACTGTCAGCTAATAAGTCTGATACAGGATGTCAGTATTTCCAGCAGGAGGTAAATATGTGAAAATTTATCTGAAAATCCACAAGCTTTTTCAGATTATGTCCAAATATAAGACAAAAAAGGACTGAAGAGTGCCTCATACCAACACTCCTCACTCTACTTGACCTCAACCCTCAGGACAAAATTACACACACACACACACACACACACACACACACACACACACACACACCCCAAGGTAGTAAAATGCCCATGAAGACTCCCAACTCTTTCAAAGCAGATCCAAGGGGCACTGATGGAAGGGGAAGCAGATACCACATCGTGGAGCTGTCTGAAATGATTAAAGAGGAGCTGAAGAAATGCGTTGAGTTCAAAGAGGATATGATACAAAAGACGATGTAACTAAAATGCAAACTACCCAATGTGGATATGGGAAAAAACAAATAAAAAATTGGAATAGCTGACCAAAATGGTTCAAAACATGATGACAAATTTACCAAAGATACAGACTCCACACAAAGGTGCCAAACAGAAATATTAGAGATTAAAACATTTCTATAGAATTTTAAACACCAGAAATGAGCAATGTAAATGAACAGATTTCCAAAATCAAGGACAAAATGGAAACTCACTATAAACTACTCAGAGAAGTCTTAAAAATGATAGAAGAACAAGAAAAACTTATCCAACAGCTACTAGAGGATGCTAAGAGGCCTAACTTGAGGATAATTGGAGTTAGAGAGAAATAAGACAGCATACATGGAATAAAAAAATCTGTTTACAGACATCATAATAGAAACTTTCCAAGTATGAGAAAAGATCTCAACATGCAAGTAAGCAAGGCACACAGAACACCTACTACCTACAATGAAAAAAGAAACTCTCGGGACAAATGATAGTCCAAATGTCCAGATGTCCAGCAAAAGGAATCTTCGAAGCTGTCAGGAAAAAGCAAGGAATCACATCTAAAGACATAAAATCCCAAGAAAAGAACAGAAGCCCAAAGGAGGCGGGTCAGGAGAGCTGTGCTCAGCGCCTGGCTGTGCGAGTGTGACATCACACCCTGAGCATGGCCTCCTAGGACACACTGACTTCCCATCACAATGGCAACTGCTGGGAGTGGACGAGAGGACTGACAGACCACGGGCAGGGGCACGTCCCTCTCAGTGCTGTCGTGACCAGGGGTGGGCCCTGGGCAGCCCCTGCTTTCTCTGGGCTGATGGCCTTTTTTTCATTTTGATTTGGTTTTTGTTGCTGCTGTTGTTCTTTTTC